CACCGAACTATCACAAGGTGAATCGCAACTTACCGAAGCACCCAAATCAGTGAAAACACAAGCTTTGAAGCATCAACGCAAGGGGAAACTTCACCGAACTATCACAAGGTCAATCGCGACTTACCCAAGCACCCAAATCAGTGAAAACTCAAGATTGGAAGCATCAACACAAGGGGAAACATCACCGAACTATCACAAGGTGAATCGCAACTTACCCAAGCACCCAAATCAGTGAACACACAAGCTTTGAAGCATGAACACAAGGGGAAAATTCACCGAACTATCACAAGGTGAATCGCAACTTACCCAAGCACCCAAATCAGTGAAAACCATGGCAGCGGCGGACAAGTGAACCGGACAAGTCTGGACACTGGAAACCGGATTTCCGTGTTTCATCCGAACGTCCGGAGTTCCGGTATTTTTCGGTTAATCCGGACATGTCCAGATCCGCCTGTTCGGATCCTTGTCCGGATCTGTGTACATGTTCAGATTAAAAAAAAAAAAAAAAAAAAAAAAAAAAAAAAAAAGCCTGCTATACAAAGTACTGCAAATGGGTTGAAAATAACAAAAAGGCCATGCGGCACAGATAGGGGCGGGGAGGGGAGGTTATAGCGAGTACATGTCAACAACCAAAATGAGGGTGAGTAGGGCGAAGACATGGAGTAGCAGCAGGAGGAGGGCAAAGACATGGACGGGGAGGAGCGGGAGGAGGATGAAGACGAGGAACATGACGACAAAGATCCGAAAAAAAAGGGAAAAAGGGTGCCATGTGGCATGAGCAGGGAAGGGAGCGGGGGAGGTTATAGCAAGGACATGATGATGACCAAGAGGCGGAGGAGGAGGAGGAGGACCGGAAGGAGGACGCAGACATGGAGAAGGAGGAGGCGGCATAGGAGCAGAAAAAAGGAAGATCATGACAACAAAACGACGAGAGAGAGAGAGAAAGAGAGAGAGAGAGAGCTGCTTGCACTGCTCCTCGTGCGGCCTTTGCTGCACCCACTGCCAGCCCTCCTGCGCCTGCTTTGCGTCTGCTCCTTGCCTGCTATGGCCGCCTCGTTGCCCTGCTTCTTCCTCCCTCTGACAATGGCGGTAGTGGCGGGCATGCAAGCTAGAACATTGTTGTGGGAGGGGGGGCAACCGAACTCGCAAGACGCGATGATGAATTCAAAGACTGTGCCCACTACGAAGCTACCACGATGCAAGGATGACATTCAAACGGGCCGAAATATAGAAGGAAGAAAACTTCCCACAGGCAAAAAAATTCAGGGCTAAACCGGATGCCCCTTCAGGGCCAAAATAATTTTGCTCGTATTTTTGGCTCGCAGCCCTGGGCGAGACGAAACGCCCTCGACAAACAAAAAAAAAATTGGCCGTTGGCCAAAGGGCCTGGAATCCGGACCGGGATTCGGACATGTTCACCGGACACCGGACACTGGACGGTCCGGATCCCTGTCCGGAGGTCCGGATCGCTGCCATGGTGAAGACTCAAGATTTGAAGCATTAACACAAGGAGAAACATCACCGAACTATCACAAGGTGAATCGCAACTTACCCAAGCACCCAAATCAGTGAAAACTCAAGATTGGAAGCATCAACACAAGGGGAAACATCACCAAACTATCACAAGGTGAATCGCAACTTACCCATGCACCCAAATCAGTGAAAACTCAAGATTTGAAGCATTAACACAAGGGGAAACTTCACCGAACTATTACAAGGTGAATCGCAACTTACCCAAGCACCCAGATCAGTGAAAACTCAAGATTTGAAGCATCAACACCAGGGGAAACATCACCGAACTATCACAAGGTGAATCGCAACTTACCCAAGCACCCAAATCAGTGAAAACACAAAGTTGGAAGCATTAACACAAGGGGAAATATCACCGAACTATCACAAGGTGAATCGCAATTTACCCAAACACCCAAATCAGTGAAAACACTAACTTTGAAACATCAACGCAAGGGAAAACTTCACGGAACTATCACAAGGTGAATTGCAACTTACCCAAGCACCCAAATAAGTGAAAACTCAAGATTGGAAGCATCAACACAACGGGAAACATCACCGAACTATCACAAGGTGAATCGCAACTTACCCAAGCACTCAAATCAGTGAAAACACAAACTTTGAAGCATCAACACAAGGGGAAACTTCACCGAACTATCACAAGGTGAATCGCAACTTATCCAAACACCTAAATCAGTGAAAACTCAAGATTTGAAGCATTTACACAAGGGGAAACATCACCGAACTATCACAAGGTGAATCGCAACTTACCCAAGCACCCAAATCAGTGAAAAGTCACGATTGGAAGCATCAACACATGGGGAAACATCACCGAACTATCACAAGGTGAATCGCAACTTACCCATGCACCGAAATCAGTGAAAACTCAAAATTGGAAGCATCAACACAAGGGGAAACATCACCGAACTATCACAAGGTGAATCGCAACTTACCCAAGCACCCAAATCAGTAAAAACACAAGCTTTGAAGCATCAACGCAAGGGGAAACTTCACTGAACTATCACAAGGTGAATTGCAACTTACCCAAGCACCCGAATCAGTGAAAACTCAAGATTGGAACCATCAACACAAAGGGAAACATCACCGAACTATCACAAGGTGAATAGCAACTTACCCATGTACCCAAATCAGTGAAAACTCAAGATTTGAAGCATCAACACAAGGGGAAACATCATCGAATTATCACAAGGTGAATCGCAACTTACCGAAACACCGAAATCAGTGAAAATCGCAGTTTTGACAAGAGGACGAGGGGGAGAAGGGGGGGAAAAGGAAAAGGAAGAAGATGAAGAAGAAGAAGAAGAAGAAGAAGAGGAAGAAGAAGAAGAAGAAGAAGGAGGAGGAGGAGGAGACCTTCATCCTCTTTCACTTACC